TTCGTTTTGTGTACGCAAAAAATGAATTCCATTTGAGAAAAGCTGTAATGGAATGACTTTGTCTGTATTTAATGTACGTAATGAGACTGCTGTCTGAACAAGTCTTTCACAATTTTAAATAGGCATAAGTTTTTTTTTATAACACAGAACAAACGAGCATACAGCTCACTTGATAGTAAGTGATTGTCGGCACCTGCAATATTATAGAAATTGCATTTGAGTCGACGGCCTTTTAAGAAGGAGTATGCTCTTTTCCCAATTTAATCAATCCCAGAGTATTTTACTTCCTCCTTCGCCTCCTCAAATGTTATGTCCATGGTACTGCTTATGTCTATAAGGCGACGACTACCACTTTCCATCAGGTGGGCCGTCAGCTTGTTTGCTATTCTATGTTGCATAAAAATACATTGCGAGATCTCTGTGGATGCTGGTGACTCAAGACCGTTCTTTATGGCAGTCTATGGGGAGACCTATGTTCAGCAGTGGACAGATAATGGCTGAGATGATGATGATGATGCTCTCTTCTTGAAGGTTTCAATGTTGTACTACTTCTACTAGGAATCAATTCTGGACCATAATCCCTAATGGATCAGTCTACTGTGATTAAAAAGCAACTATAAATGCGTAAAAGGCATTTTTTGATTGATGTCATTGTTTATCATAGAGAACTCGATATGTCTACATTTTATGGGACAAAAGAGACTGTTAGTAATGGGATCTTATAGCCCTATTGCTAGCGATATGTCCCACAAGGTCGACCTCCACGTGGTTCCTCCTGGAAACCATCGTGGTTAATTATTAATGAATTCGTCACGTTAGGCCAACTGACCTGCTTTCATCCTCACCTATCGTCTCTCACTGGTGTGTGCGCTTGCGTATATCGATAGCGCGGGCGAAGCGACCATTCCAATTTCACCCATTAAAAAAAAACTAATTTAGAATTAAAAAAATTCAAAATCAAATCATCGTTATTCGAATAGACTCGTTTAGACAAGCACAAATCGTTATTTTTCTTTAATCTACAGCAAGGTTCGCAAAGTTGTTATCTGCTGAGAAGAGCTCGCAAGAAACTTAACAGTTACGCTTTTAAATTTAATGATAACATATTATATATATGTAAATAAGTACACATATATTTATATAAATGTACTATATCTAAAATAACACGGTCATCGAAAAGCCCGTGATTTGTTGTTGCATGCACATTTGTCATTCAAGTAATCGTTTAGTGTGTTATAGGTTTTGTTCAATAAGTGCTTCAAATAGCAGTTTTAAATTTATTAAAAGGTAGATCTTAAGAGGTCAAGCCTATCGCAGTCATCGTCATCATCATACCATCTTTTAACTGTCCACTGCTGAACATAAGTCTCCCACTTGGGGGATTTTGCCAGTAATTGCCACAATTGGCAGGTGGATTGGCAACCGGAGTCAGACACTTAAAGGAAAGGAAGAGGCCTATTCTATGCCGGGTCCACACGGTCTGTCGCAGTCACTCGGATTAATTTGGTTTGTTTTCGGTGTTTTCTATCACCGCAAAGTTATTTGAAAAAATTAAATTCATATTAGTGTTGGCCAGATTCGAATTCATAAGCTTTGCAGTCTATAGATTCGGATATTACATACTCTTCCAATTACTTTATTGAGATCTTTCCGACTACCAAAAATGAGGGTTATAGAGAAGAGAAGAGAGAGAAGAGAAGAGATTGCTTAGCCTTTTGTACTACACTATACTTATCGAAAATTATTCAACAAATCCTATAATATAGCTACAATAAAATGTTAAATAAATAAATAAATATTATATTGGAGTATATTCACAACTATGAGGCAGCGTGTAACCGAAATAACTAAAAAGATTTTAATAAATAGGATGTCCATAAATTCATATTATTTGTGGCCGTATTCTATGGAACACGACCATAGTTTATAATAAATAATGGTGTCCATAAACTGTCAAATAAAATCAAACTTGGGAAATTTAACAGTCAGATTTTACAACGACATTATTATTCTATAGTTAACTGCATAGTTATATAAATATATCTCTTGTCTGTTTACATTTATTTATTTATTTATATACTTTTGTACATTCACTTATAATATAGATATTAGGGTATAACAAAAATGTATACAAGTGGAACCTTGAGAACTTGAAAGGAGAAAGTATCTATAGGATTTGTATACAAAACACAACATATATCGTGCAAAAATAATATTATAAATAATACATTCTATTTCTTAGTAGCTATATATACATATATATATGTACATACATATAGCTACATATATAAATATAAAAGATATATATATATATATATATATATATATATATATATATATATATATATATAAACATAGAATAACTATACATATAAGTAACTCCACTGTCAATTGTACTGTAAAATCTTTTTGTTTAGACTTTGAAGGCATAAACGCTCTTTTTCGATGGGTGAAAATGGTATGCAAACCCCACCTACGCTAACGGGATACGCTGGCGAAGCACGAGTCAAGGGTGATAGATGAGAATGTAAACAGGCTAGTTAGCCCCTCATGATGAATTCATCAGTAATTAACCATGATAGTTTCCAGGGGGAACCGCGAGGAGGTCGACATAGTTGGGTATATTGCTAGTATGAACTTGAAATAAATATTAACAATACAATAAAAATATTAATAGACTGGCTAAAGGAAAATAATTTAAAGATAAACTTAGATAAAACACATTTTATGAATTTTAGTAATCGACAAAATAATTTGACATCTTTTAATATCGATTTTAATGGAAAAAAAATAAATGAAGTGAAAATTACGAAATTTTTGGGATTAACGATTGATAATAACCTGACATGGAAACATCATATAGAAAATATTAATAGCAAAATAAACCAATTTTCATACGCATTACGCATGTTGTCTAAGATTGTTAATCAGACAGCGGTATTGACTGCATATCATGCATATGTTGAATCCTTACTAAGGTATGGTGTCATATTTTGGGGCAATTCGACATATAGAGATATAGTCTTCAAGACTCAGAAAAGGTGTATTAGATCTATGTGCAATTTGAAAAGAACTGATACATGTACGACTTCATTCAAAAGACTGAATATCCTGACTTTTCCAAGCCTTTATATTCTTGAAACAATGTTGTTTGTGAAAAAGAATAAACTTTTATTTGAAAAGTTAAAAAGTGACCGTAATACCGATAAAATTCGCGTTCAGCCTCACGTCACAGCATTATTTGATAAAAGTTTTTTCGGTATGGTCTCTAAAATATATAATAAATTCCCGAAAGCATTTAGGGAAATAAACAGTTTAAATGTATTTAAGAAAAAAGCAAAAGAATATTTGACAGCCAAATGTTACTATACGTTGCATGACTATTACAGTGATAAATATTAGACATGCAATTTAATTATTTTTATTGACATTTTTTATATTTTATTATTATTATTGACATTATTTTTATTATTATAAGTTATTATTACTATAATTTTATATTGTACATGCCGATATGGTAGAATATGGAATAATGGACATGTAATTATTTTTTTCAACTAATGTATGTACCCATATTCGTGCAATAAATGATTTGATTTGATTTGATTTGATTTGATTTAGTAATGGGATTCACAGTCTCCATTACTAACAATCCCTTTCCCCTCGCATAAACGCTCTGTACCATCCTAGTATCATTTGGAGGGGAATATACATATTTACTTACTATTATTAGAACTAAAATAAGGTTATCATCCTCGGGTCAACATTGGGGCCGATTCTAATGTGACATTTTTCTAAACTTATCACTTAACCTAATAATTTAATAGATTCGAGACATTACTGTTTTACTATCCTCAATCTATGTGTCAACGACATGCCAAATTATTACTTTGGCATATAAGCTTGCTATGTACGGAAGATACACTGTAAGAACCTAATTAGAACAATAAAAAAAATTGTACTACAAGTATTCCAATGGTAGTCTTTTTAGGAATTCTCCTAGAGATTCAACTACAAACTTTTGATCAGCCGACGTTCGCCTTTTCGTCTACTTTGCCATCCTTATACCAGATTTATAATAAATTACTTAAGATTAGATTTAGATTAAGAATTAGATTAGATATAATACTGTCTTCTTCGTTTAGCGTAAGGACAATAATTAGATTATTGTCCTTACGCTAAACGAAGAAGACAGGAAACAGAAGATAAATATATTGTATTTATTTCGTTGTTGATTTTATGGCACAAAATATACTAATCATTATGTATTTAATATAATCATTGTATATTGTATTAGTGTGTGATTAAAATCGTTATTTTTTTATAAATCTACTGCATTTGAGTCCGAAAAGTCGTACTCTGCTGAGAAAATCTCGCATGAAACTCAAGAGTTACAGTTTTAAGTCTCTGTTAATATTATGTGTTTTCCTATATATTTAAATGTACTATGTGTCAAATTTTATGTAAGTACATGGCCATTAAAAAACTTATACACGATCGAGTAACATCATACACTTTTAATAATCAGTAAGTAAGCATTTAATGGTACATATGTATATGTACGATATATATCATTAAATAATTATATTATTGAATTTGTTAGGTATATTTATTCATCATCTTCATCACTCAGCTATTATCCGTTCACTGCTGGACATAAGCTTCCCCCATAGACTATCATAAAGAACGGTCCTGAGCCACCTGCATCCACTGACACCCTGTAATGTATTTCAGGTCGTCACTCTATCTAGTGGGGGATCGTTCTACACTGCGTTAACCCTTATGAGGTCGCTACTCAAGAACATTTATTCCCCATCGGTTGTCGATTCTTCGAGCTATGTGACCACTCCATCGTCACTTCAGCTTGCTCATCCTTCAAGCTATGTCGGTTACTTTGGTTCTTTTGCGGATATCTTCGTTTCGGATTCTATCACGAATAGATATATTTATTACTACTCATATTATTTTAAATAGGTAATAGGAAAATAAAACATAATACGTATGGCCAATAAATTTTATTGTGGCAAATTCATACATTACTTTCTATATTAGTTTGGTCCAATAATTATATTAATTTAATTAACTTTACCGCGCTAACTGCGCTACGTACACGTAAATTATAATTCCTTAACAATAAACCACCACCGTTATTGCAACTGTTTATACAAACCAATATTAACATCGGCGGGTCCAAATAATCACAATACAACCAAATTTTGTCCCCAATAAATACCATACACGTCTATTTGGCACAAAATTTTCAATTTCGAAATTTAATCGTTTCCGCCTTAAATATCTTATATAATCTATATTACATTACAAAATTGACGTCACTCGCCATTATTTTAATATAAAAAAAAAATGTTTTCAAAAAGATTCACAATAAATCTATATTAACTTAGTTATTATGGAAATATTTAATCTCTTTTTACATCACAATCTTGAGTACATACCATAGATTACCCCCGCAGGCATCAAGAGTGAATAAACATATGTTACCGAATGCACATTACATTACGGATTTTTTTAGTTTTTTTTTATTTTATTTTATATACGACAATAATATTACATTTATTTACAACACTTAATACCTAAAAGTTCATAGAACATACTAGAAATATATCATAGATATATGGGATAAACATTACCAGCTTTCGACGACAGCGGTGTTTTTTTTTAAATCGTTACGATTCGTATAGTTATATCGAAAGATCGCCATCGTCTAGTCGCTGGTAAAAAAAAACCTTAACAACTAACGCATACAGCGAAAAGTCCCGTCCAATATAATTCTAGAGAAAATTACCTTTCTCGAATTATATGGAGGGATAGTTTACGGCGCCTATTAATCCGCAGTCCGAAGGCAGACTCCGAACGAACGGAAATTCGGTCGTCAACAAACAAGAGAACTGCGTTCGGTTTTGCGTTTTCACGTAAAACCGAACGAGCTGTCGTTCAGCCCGCATTACCGCGGTGCGTACGTTCTTATATTTACAATTTATAAATATTTACAATTAACTTAAAAACTAGAATTATTGCGACAGAGTATTTATAACGAGTACGGGTGACAAAACTGATAGACAAGCCTCTGACTCCGTTCCGTTTTCTTCATTATGCCCTTCTTGTAATACTGCCTTATGCTCCTCGACAGTTTGTCGTAGTTCATCGCTGGTCGGTTCTTTCTCTTTCCCCAGAGCCTCGCCACACGTACTGAATCTTCAATCTTGAAAACACCGTTACCTGCGAGAGAACACGACATGAATTAAGCATTGCAAAATTATTCACTGATGCTAATGAAAACAGTTTTTGTGGATAGCTTTATTTCCTTTGAAGATAATTTGACAATAGACATTCCCGTTTTGAATAAACAAGTGTACTTCTACAAGAACGGAATAATAATATGTTGTAGGTACATTATAATGAGTTTAAGTTTCCATTAACCGAAAAGGACAAAGTCTTATATGTCTCATGGTATAATGAACTATAAATCGTAACAATGTGTCGGTGCCTATCGTCTCAAAGACTGGTCACGAAGCAGAAAATTAACCTTTATTGTAGCTTAAAGCATTTTATTAAGTACTTAAGTACTCGAGTAACTGGCTCGTTCACCTTGGCTAGTGAGAATGTCGTTGCTACAATGAATTTTCCACAAATAATAAATCTTTGCTCTACTTTATTTAGTTTTATATGATGTTTGGTCAGTGTTTGGGAATATAGCAAGCGTGATATTGTTATCTTCATACCGTTGTTCCAATTATTGTAATTTTTTTTTAATTTAAATGTTTATTATATTTTAATTTTAGCATTTATACCCTTAATATTAATACCAGAGGGCCTACCATGAAATATTTTCCGAAATTTCGGAGCCAAACGAAACACAAATTTGATGTTAAAATTACATTATACATGCCATTTGGAAATATCAAAAATGTTAAAATATTGTTCCTTTGGATTTTTATGATAGGATGTATGACGAACGAAATGTTAAACTCCATATATTGTTCCGATTTTGGTATAAACAAAAACACAGAATTGAGTCCGAAATTTTGGAATTTCATTTCATGGTAGACCCGCTGTTTATTAGGCATGGGTAATATCGGTACCACTGATATCTATATATTGGTTTCCTTTGTACATTGATGGTGGAAAAGAAGGTCATTACTCATTTCAATATCGCCCACACTTGTCAGTTATCTATATTCATTTCGATCGGGTTCTTTATTTCGATATTATACTAATATTTAGTACTAGCTGTTCCCCGCGACTTCGTCCGCGTTTCCGTTGTTTTTCTTAAAATAAGTAGCCTATGTCCTTCCTCACAGTTCAGTGGTTTTGATGTAACAGACACATTTCCCTTCACTGCTCTGCTCCTATTGATCGTAGCGTGATAAAAAGTATATTATAACCTGCCTAGGAGTATAAAGAATAATTGTACCAAGTTTCGTTAAAATCCGTCGTGTAGTTTTTGTTTCTATAACGAACATACAGACAGACAGACAAAAATTTTACTGATTGCATTTTTGGCATCAGTATCGATCACTAATCAACCCCTGATAGTTTTTGTGGAAATATATTTCATGTACAGAATTGACCTCTCTACAGATTTATTATAAGTATAGATATCTGTTATTGGAGCAATATCTATATATCTATATATATATCCATATACCCACTCCTACTGTCTATACAATACGTTTTGGATTACATAATAAATATTAAAAAAAAAACATCGATGAATATTAGCGTAATATGTTGCATTGTTACTATTGTATTGAAGATAAAAGATTCCGTGTTATTGACCAATTATATTGAATCACAGTATGTTAAATGGAGACAAGTTGAAACAAAGAAATCTAGAATAGCCGATTGCTTATTCATCGAAGTACCATTGAGACGAGATTAAGCATTTTATTTGTCGACCTTATCGGAAACCAGTTCGATGGACCCAAAGTAGTTACCAAATGTCCTTATTAACTTTTATTTTAAGCGTATATCTTTTATGCATAAATATCATTGTTATTGTTGGGACAATGATAAAGTTTTATTGTTTAAAGTTTCATAAATACATGTTATAATTTAATGTAATAACTATCTGTGTAACTTACGTGTAATGTAATGTCAGACAGGCTTGTGCTCGCGTCATAGTCGCTCGACATTAAGGTTCCCGAATGGTCCCGAAACAAGTAGAGCTTTTTCGATCAAATTACACGTAAATTAAACCGATAGTTATTACATTGAAATATACTGACAAATCTTTTTGTTTGCTTTGTTTTTTTAATATTCAAATATAATTCTACATGCGTAAATCTAAAACTCTTATCGATTCGACAGATCTCGAAACAATATCTCTCAGTTTAAATTAATTATTCATTTTTATTTCAGAATTTACACTTTTAAAAGTGGTATGAGTTCTTCACGCCATTTCTTTTTTCTTTAATTAATTTTATTAACTTTTTAGTAGATTTTTATTAATTTTATTAATGTTTTCGCTTTATTTTACTTTCAATTTCATAATTAAGTCGGGTAGGTACTATGAAAATTTTAAACTTTAAATACACTATCGGGACTTAACGCGATGAAAAAGTTAAGTCCCTGTAATGTATTAACTTAAATTTAACTATTTTTAATTTATTGTATAGTATCAAATAATTATAATAGCAACAAATAATTAATCATATTATCGTAACTTTATGCCTATTCACCTATCCGATATCGTTTTGAGTGACAATACCTATGTGTTTTTTAATAAACAGTACCTATATCCACTATAGAGACAGTTATCTCAGCAATGACACATTCTTCTATCACGCCTGGTTATCAAAATGTACCTACTTGAAGGTGTGCAATAAAGAGATGCAATTAATTAATCAAATACAGTTGAAGTCAAAACTTTGGAATAAACAATAAAAGAAACTTAAACTCTGTGTTTACTTCATAGAGTTTATATTTAAGTGAATTATTAAAATGTGTAATAGATTTTAATTTATAATACACAAGGAAATTACACCATTAACATTATAGCCAAGTATTTGTTTGTTTCTTAATATTATTGTAACGCAAGTAAAAGTTACTTAATAAAATGGACTGAGTGTCTATGTCTGTTTTTAGGTGTTTTGTTTTTGTTATTTAAGTATAACTTAAAAAAAATTATACTCTTTAGGTATTATGTTGTATAGTCTACCTTTAGTCATTTTTTATATATATAATTTTTTTTATATAACACAAAGATAGCAAGCAAGTATATAGACTGTCTGATAGTAAACGTTAACTGTAGTACTAGGAACGCCTGCAACACTAGGGTTGCGCGTGCGCGTTGCCGACCCTGAAGAAACCTTAATATATCCTTTTTGAAGAACCCTATACTGTAATCTTAAGGGAAAACCTCGGCAGGAAGCTCATTCGATAGCCATTCCATTCAATTGAAACAAAGTACTCGTACACATTTTTTGTAACTTTAATTTGAAAATTAACAACATTTTCTATAGAAGACATAGTGTCAAAAGTATGTTAGTAGTTTATCATAACACTAAATATTTCAAATAATAAAACATAATAGATTAAATTATTTAAAAATTCATGTAATTTCATTTCATTTAAATAAACTATCTTGCTTAATGCGATGTAAAAAATTTGCCGGTAAACAGTACATCGTATTAAATCCCGATATTGTTTTTAAATATGTGTGAACAACGCGTAATTTTAAAATGAAAAAAAAAATTAAGGGATATGGCGTAAATTTACATGGTACAGAGGAATAACACCTGAGTCCTCAGGAATGGCAACGCATGGGGGGTATCATGGGCGAAACAGTATACTCTGTTATGTCCGTGGTACTGCTCATGTCTATAGGCGACGGTTACCACTTTCCATCAGGTGGGCCCGTCAGCTTGTTTGTCATTCTAAGTTGTAAAAAAAACACATTTCTTGATATCCCTTATTATCCTAATTACTTTTCGCCGCCAGAGTACCTACATACAATACAACTATCTAAGTTCCTTTAGGTAATAAAGCACGTCTCTGAGCATCTCTCAAATCATAAACTACTTATCATTTAGACATTATAAGTACCTTATAAATTACGCAGTGGAATTATATTGACAATGCGTTATCGAAAATATATTATTATAAACAGCGTTGAATGCTATCACTTGATGTTTGTATTACAATATAAATTAATCACCCGTATGAGTAATATATTAAAGTTTATATGATCGGATATATTTTATGATTAGTTGTACCCCGCGGCTTTGCTCGCGCGAATCAGTTAAGGGACTTTGTACAAGAGTCGTTTGCTTGGGCACCTCTGTCTCATTCGTGTTTCTACCGTGAAGCAGTTGTGTTTGCATGGCTGTGTTTCGGTTTGATAGATAGCAGTGAATTTACAGGGTACAAAGAAATAACACCTGAGTTCTCAGGAATGGCAACGCATGTGGGGGGAGGGGGTATTATGGGCGAAATAGTATACTCTATTATGTCCATGATACTGCTCATGTCTATAGGCGACGGTTACTACTCCTGATATTGCAGGCGTTCATAGACTACAGTAACCCTATGTTATTAGGTAGGGCATATGCCATTGTTTGCCACCTCAATGGTATAAAAAAAGTATATAAAGTTACCCATTTTCAAAGTTGGGATATAATCTACCTGTGTACCAAATTTCATTCCAATCCGTTCAGTAGTTTTTGCGTGAAAGAGTAACAAATATTTGTTCATACATTCATCCATCGTTATCAAACTTTCGTATTTATTTATATTAATACTATTAAAAAAACACCTTATGTGATATTCATGGAGCTATTCATGTCTATAGTTGACAGTTACCACTTTCCATCAGATGGCAATCTTTTATAAAAATATAGAAAGTAAATATGGATACTCACTTCGATCTAACCACCGAATTGCAGACCCATGTATATGAGGCGAGGCTAGTAGTTCCTTAAGGAACTGCCATAAATGTATGTGCGTGCTCCCTGACTTGGCTTTCCCGCCAGCTGTTCCTGAGCTCGTTCCTGCTGACTCGGAGTCTTCATCTATTGGAGAAAAGTACTTATTAATATTAATCCTTAGAATTCTTACTAATATTAAAAATGTAATTTAATATATACGTAGTATTTGAGATGAAAATTTAAAAAATTTAGGTGAAAACAGATATAGGATACTTTTTAGTCAACGAATATATCTCGGTCACGAATAAAAACTAGTACAGTATATATAACTAGAAACGGGTAATACCGATAATGTTCTAATATCTAATATATTAGATTCGTATGGATATTAATGGCGGATAAAAAAGTCATTACCTATTCCTATATCACTGATATGTATATATCGATTATCTATATTTAATTCGATCTTCATTTCAGTATTGTATATATTAGATAACTGACATTTAATTTTTTTTTATACAACTTAGTATGGCAAACAAGCTGACGGCCCACCTAATGGAAAGTGGTAACCGTCGCCTATAGACATGATCAGTACCATGGACATAACAGAGTATACTGTTTCGCCCATGATACCCCCCATGCGTTGCCATTCCTGAAGACTCAGGTGTTATTCCTCTGTACCCAGTAAATTCACGGCTTATCTCACCCTTCAAACCGAAACACAGCCATGCAAACACAACTGCTTCACGGTTGAAACACGAATGGGACAGAAGTACCCAAGCAATCGACTTTTGTACAAAATCTCCCTCTGGTATATAATATACACGTTCTAATGCCAATATACAGGATATTGTATCTCAAATATATAGATATTGCTATATATTATCAACCCCTATAAATAACATATGATTTTATTATACAAGAAACACTTATTTCAATTGCAACATTTATGTAACATATAAATGAGAATAACTTCTATCGAATGCAAAAAGAGTTATTATTCTAAAACGATTTTACGATAATCAATATTAGTTACATTGAACTTATTATCTCATAAGTTCAATAGAACTGGTATTGATCAATTAACGTTTCATGTTATTTTCTTTTTGTATGTATGAGACACACAGTATAGAGAGAGAATGCTTTTAGCATTAAGTCCGCCATGTACACATATTTGTACTAATGAATAAATACATAAATAAATAAAAATATATAGATATTACTATATATGATCTACCCTTATATAGGTACATATATGTATTAGTTAATTATTATTTTGGTTTATTACAATAATCTGTACAAGTATACCGTATTTATCTATAGAATGAAGCGTATTCCCCTAAGTAAACGTGACACGTGCATACATTAAGATGTACCTACCAGTAAAAAACTAATTTCGTGTCATACGTGTTCCAAATGCATGTTAAAAAGTACTAAAAGTTAAGGCTAAGTATTATGTTTAACAATTTACCATCATTATGGGGTGGCCAATGAGGCTAATGGATGAAAAGAGGACGGTAGCAGGCTCGTGGACACATTCTATTGCTTCTGGGAAACATATCGTATCGATTTATAGCTCCACCATACAGCTGATGGTGGACATGTTCGTTCTACATTTAGTTATTTCAAATAATTGCGACGTGGATGTGGACACACAAAAAATTATACACAATCATAGACTAGGAAATATTGCGCTCATTTCCAGCTATTAATGGATATGTTTATAGTTGAACGTAGTGAAGTATTTTTGAAAATTTTATAAAAATACATATAACGTCGAGACATGAAATTTTATATATACGGTAAATATTTAACTCCTATCTTACGATAATTGCATGTTTCTTTCAAATTTTAATTCCGTCGAAACGTAATTTTTGTATAAAAATGAGAATATTAATAAATAAATGCATGTTATGTATTTTTTTTTATTTTAATAAGTATGTAAAGTATCCATATAATAATTTGTATATGTTTTATTAACGTACGGCGTTTTTCATTAGATATATTTCTTCTACATAATAACTACCGTGTTTTCCTCTACTAAAAAATTCAAAAATTGTCTTGAATAGATTATTTTAGCGATAAGAACGCCTTTTGTACTTTATAAGTGTTTTTTTAATACAACTTAAAGTGTTAGTAAGTTGTCTAACGGAAAGTGGTAACCGTCGCCTATAGACATGAACAGTACCATGGACATAACAGAGTATACTGTTTCGCCCATGATACCCCCCATGCATTGCTATTCCTGAGGGCTCAGGTGTTGTTCCTTTGTACCCAGTAAAATCACGCAAATATAAGATAATCTTTTCAGTCCTGACTAGGTACCGATAATTTTATTGTACGTACCATTTTTGTTCTAATATCATGTATTTCTTGTAGAATATCATAAAATTGATTAGAACAATAAAAATAAATGTATAGATATATATTTTATATATAATAATGAAAGATAAAGTCACATGTTATAAATAACAAGTACAAAGAATAATAACGCAAGAATACATTCTGAAAATATATTTTAAATAAGCTTACACTCCCATCAGTGAATGAATTTTTAGACTCGATTTAATATACCTAGAGATTGGTCATATATTATACTTAAACAAACAAATTCTACTTCTGTAAAGTATTGCTGTTTTAAACATAGATAACGCTTGAATGGAAATGATAGGTAGACGTTTTGCGTGAGAAGTTAATTTTACATTGCTTTATAAACATTCAATATTTGACCTCCAAGGTAAGATGTAAACAAACCGACATTCGAACGATTTCAGATAAACAGACTACGCGATGCTCCGTACAGTTAAATAGCAACATTCTATTTAAAGAAGAAAGCCGAGTGTTGAATGGAATGTTTATATGCGAATTAAGGGAACGATCCATCGTTCAAATTTACACGATTCTAACTTGTAAATACTGTGGTGTAAAGTATACATTTCCAAATCAAATTGCGCAGAGATCGAAGGTAAGGAAAGAAACATTGGACAAAGTGACACTTACGGCTCAAAGTTATCAACGGTCAAGAAAATAGATTTACATTGCACTCTGAGCCATATTAAATGGGAATAATAACGTTTTTTGCAACATCAGCCAGCAAATCTATCTTGGTCATAACGATTGTGACCTTGCGAGTCTGGTAGCACGAGTGAAGACAAACTGGGTCGCCGGGAAACGATACAAAAAGCTGACTTGACGTATATGGATTTCCAGCTACACTAGAGCAAAGGGACGAAGCTATAGGCTATAGAGCTGCACATTTCTGATTGACGGATTAACTGTAAATAGGCGTGGTAGCAAACGGACTTGGTAACCAATTGATATTATTTTAAATTGTTGGTCATTGATTTCAGATAAGTGTCGTATTATTTATAATACCTTCGATAGTGATAAGCTGGTTTTTACTGATTAAATTTATTATGATATGCCTAAATGGAAATTTGATGACGTTCTTAGTTGATAAATATTAATAGTTATTGTTATTTAAACATATAAGATGTGTATTTTATTAAATTATTTAACTAATTAGTATCTAAATTGAATGAGTGCCATAAACTGTTGTTATAGAAGTTATTTACTATAAAGTCTTATTTAAACACTAGCAATCCCCTCTGACTGCGCATGGTGTTTTTGTAAATAAAAAATAGTCCATGTTACTCGCTGATAATGTAGCTTTTTAAATATGTTTTGAGTTAATCAATTACAAAAACAAAAAAAAACAAATATTAGATTTTTATAATATTAGTTTAATTTCTTTACAATTTAGAATGGCAAACAAGCTGACGGGCCACCTGATGGAAAATGGTAACTGTCGCTATAGACATGAGCAGTACCATGTACATAACATTCCTGAGGACTTTGGTGTTATTCCTCTGTACCCTGTATTCCTTGCCATATCCCACCCTTCGAACCGAAACACAGACATGCAGACACGACTGCTTTGCGGTAGAAACGGTTGTTAGTTATTAATTAGTTATTTTATTAGGTTGTTATTCGATTTGTGGTGTTTATTTTGTGTACCTAAAGTTATTTAGTAAAACATAGGTACGTATAGTAGAAATAAAGTTGATAAACTAATATCTCTTTAAAGTATTTGAAGACGACGAATGTATGTACGTATACTTGTATATAAATTACTCATAATTATGTACTAAATGATAAAATTTCTGATAAGTGTTAGTAGCAATAACAGTTTTATAATAGTGGCATTATTTAAAATATATTTGACAAATATATATATACATATATAAAGAAAATATTACTATATAAATAGTTATATATATATATATATATATATATATATATATATATATATATATATTTATTTATTGATTTATTTATTTAATATTTCTACAATCATAATAATCATAGAGACTAGAGGAAACTGGTGTTTACGCAATGCCTTTGAACGTAACTAACAAATTGTTAGTTTTAGTAAAAAAAAAAAAACAAAGGAAAGTCTTATCTTGTTTTTCTCAATTTATCTCTCAAAAATAAATCTGTAGTAATGTGTTAAAATAACATAAAACTAACAATAAAATTTGGTTAGTGTCTTTATGTAATACGTTATGTGAACGGGTTCATAGGTTGACAATATTTCAGAAGGCTCTTTTTAGAATTCGATCTTAAACCTTAATATATGTACATACATAAAATATTTTAAAGTTAGAATAACTGGATTGTTTTAATGTATATCAATCGATCCGGTTATTCCTACAGGTCAAATATGAATAATAAATTAAATACATAAATAGGTTCTCCTAGATAGATAACTTCCTCCAAAAGATTTAATTAGTAATAATATAAAATGACTACATTTGTAACAAGTTTCAAATATCTATTTTTGAAAATATCATTCTATAAATGTACGTATGTTTACAATGCGATCCTACATTATCTTAAGAATTTTAACTACTCAAAACCAACTACTCAGAATAAGCGCAAAGAAAATTAATACTGCAAATACCACCCGTTAAAACTTTAAAATATTTGGCCCCCTTCCGTCTAACGCATAAGTATTTTCAATTCCCTCGTAAAGCAAGTTTACAGCACCAACATTTACAGCTCTCGGCCATATATCATTAGCTAGTTTGTCACTAACATGAGACCTATGTGGGACAACGTATCGGCTAACGGTCGATCACAATGCACGCCCGGATTGATGCACCATCGTTCTACATTGCTTTGACAAGTGACAGAACATCAACGTTTTATAATTGTCTCAATACCACAATTACCTATACGATACGAGAAAACATTTTTGTACCTACTATAAACGAAGAGAAAATAAAAAAATATGTTTAATAAGCTCTCAATTATCAACATGTTGTTTAAATTTGTGTTACTTTTTAATATTATCCAGCTATTAATAAAGATTGAAGAGAGAATTGTAAATATTGACCATTTAAAATAATTCAGAAAGATAAGCTTGTTTATTATAAATAAAACGACGTTAAAACCGAAAATCAAATTTGTCACAACAATCTATTTGTTAAACTTTTAACAATTAGTCTAATTGTATCTCTCATTAATGGATAAAAGTTCTTATCCTGTTAAAGATTCCTGTTTTGAATTGAATTTATATTAACATATATACGTCCATTATATAGTTTCAGAATATTCGATAGGAAGTTATTTTAATAGTTTTAATTATCTTCAATGAAGGAGGTTCTATTTCGTTTATAGTTGGTTTCATTACTACATCAATTTTGAACACAATATCCTAAGTCTTTTTGCAATCGATAGCTTTTACTCCCTTATATTTTCCCTTCATATCAATTTCGTCAAAATTGATTGTCTCTTTATCAAGTGCCTAGAAACTTCTACCAATCTTAAGTTTCATTATCTTTGTGAATAATTTTCAATTTATCACATTATTGCGATATAATATCAGTTAACAAAAATTGCTTACCGTCACTCATGTCATCAACTGAAGGTAGACCAGCTGGCGTCTGCTTGTCTGTTGTTGATTGTTGTTGCTGATGTTGTTGTTGTTGCTGCTGCTGTTGTTGTTGTTGTTCGGACCATTGTGACGACCGCCAGGCTTCGTGGCGGGCAGCCTTCCATATCTCCAATTGGGCATATAATGTACTACCAGCCTGTAACAATCCAAAATGTTTCTTATTAATATTTGTCCTAGGGTGCATAATTGAATGTTAATTTTGTAGTTTTTTTCTTTGATCCTTGATTATTACTTTTTTAACACATTTGTTTCTTTTTTAAGTGTATGTTATAAGACATTTTCGCACATGACTTTATCGATTTCGGTGACTCCTTTTACAATAATAAATACTATGTTTGTACACCTGTATTACATATAATAGGTAATACTTATGTTAAGATTGAAGTTGTTTTGTTTTGAAACGAAATTTCAAATTATTTTGTAGTAAAGTCATATATATTTATATTTATATAATAACAACAGAGAAAAATAACTAAAATGGACTTTGATCACGTACATATAATATAAAGTATTCATATCTAACATTCTTTTATATATATCTAATATAAATATATCTATTAGATTGTAATACATTATTCGACGCAACGAAATCGTCAAATCTACAACATATACCTACTAGTAACTTCCAAAAACAAATAAGATAAAAAAACACACATCAATGTCAATTGCAAGTCTCTCAATATGTTTGTAATTTGTAAACATGTTGGTACAATTTGTATGCAAGTACGTGTTGGTTGAACGTGTTCGAACGTGCGATCATCATGAGACTTTCATCGGCCTTGGAGAAAGTCGAGGCATCGGCCCGTACGAACTACGATGACAACTATTACCTAGCTATTTGAAAGAGCACTTGCCGATTAGCCATCTCTTAGCCGCAAGAGACATTTTCAAACTGACACCATTACATAATTAGTATCTCAATAGACTGTTGTTAGTTAACAGATAGTATTGTTAGAGATTAAGTGTATTATTATTAAGAATTACGTTGTTATACATTTTACATAGATAGGCAATTATAAAATTATTTTTCAATTAATATTTATTTAAAAAAAGTTATTATTGAGTTTTTTTTTTAAATATTTTCAATAGATAATAGCATTTCGAATCTAGTGATAAAATAATAAAAAGTGATAATTTAAAAGAGCTGGTAAACAAGTCTATTTAAATAAAGATGGTTTGTATTACATTCTATTAGATAATTAAAGATGGTGATATTAATGGATTATTATAAATGAATGTATCTCATCGTCTGATAAAGGAAGGATGGTGGGGAAATAAGATTATGCAACTCTTGCGCACAATCTCCAAAATGCAACTTTCAGAATACTGACAATATAGCGATGATCAATAATTTGTTATTCGAAAAATAATGTTCACGTTGAAATGATCGTATGTGAATATATTTAAGAAATCTTTGAAACCTGTAATTTTTTTACCTTATTCTAAATTTCCTTTTGACGGGTACTTAAAAATGTACCTGAATGTTACCACAGATATCAACAATGAAGTCATAAAGAGAAATATCGCAATTTTCTAGGTTGTTGACCGGCCCAGTTATTGCAAAACTGTTAATAAACAAGTTGCAAAACAAACTTATATAACGAATATGCAATGACTACCCCTATACGGATTTCCTAAATGAACTGACCGTAAATACGATCAACGTAACACTTCCTGGCCCAAAAGTTGTTATATATATTGCATAACATATAATTAATTAACTTTTGCTCGTGTCTTTATCCACATGACCGGGATATATTATAAAAGGTAGCTTATATCCTTCTACATACCATATAGTACCTGTATATTACATAAATTTGATAATAATTAGTAAAGCTGTTAAAGTACCGAGAGGTAAAAAACAAACAAAGTTACTTTCGCATTTATAATACGATTAGTGAAGTTTACCAATCAACACAACATAAACAAGTAGATAATTGGATAGATGTGAAAGATGACAAAGAATAAAGAAATAAGGAATTATTAAGAAAGTTTAAAAGTACTACAGATACAGAGAATTTGCAAAGTAATTAATTAGTTATATATGTGAATAATATTTATGTGGATGATAGAAAAAATATATAAGATGAGTGTGACAAAAGAAAAGATGAAAGGAAAATGATAATGCAAGAAAAAGTAAACTCATGTGTGACGGCTAATAGAAGTAATTGGACAAGTCTAAATTAATGACGATCATATGCTTGAATTGATGATTGATTAATGATATCTATTCAAGATGAACTATCTCTTTTAATTCAATCATAATGTTTCCAACATTGAAGTAAATAATGTATTACATCATCAATGTATAAGTATCCAATTGTATTTTATTATCTGTGACCTTTACGTTATTGATACTGTTATCAATTTAAAGGCCGAAGTTACAACACTTAATTCAAATACAGCATTGAAAATGTCTCAATGTAATAATTTAAAAAATATCTTTTCTGAAGTAGTACATGTGGTAACTATTTGAAAAAACAATTATACTGTAAATACTATCGTGAAAAGCATTTTGCTTCAAACAAGAGAATCAAAATTTAAATCAAACTCTATAAGGGCCAATTCTAGTAATTATAGACAAAGTAAATTTCTCTTATATTTACTTGTTATAGATCGTTAGTTAAATAATCCAAAAACTACCTGCTCTTTACATAATGAATCATTCTTTAGGTTTAATTTTCTGTAAAGAACTACGTGGTAGAACTTTTTGTGATGTGATATATGTCAGGTACCTATTTCTACTTTCAAAAAGTAGCGCATGCACTCTGTTTATAATATTAAATACCAAGAATTCAATGAACTACACTTTAGAAATCAAAACAAAGAAAATATGACAACTATTATAATTTTTAATGTATTATATTGACTAACTGCAAATTGAATCATCGCCAATTATTATCTTGCCAAATAAACACGTTATTATATAAATGTGTGTTACAGAATATGTGATGTAAGCTTAAATAAAAGAAAAAACTTAGGAAACAATTATTGAAATCAGTACCGATGATCTAAGAATCGTATCAAAATACAGTTGAAACAAGAAATTGATACTGAGATAAATAATGTCTTGAGAATATTAACTATGGTACACTTATAAAAAAAGAATCAGCTAGAGATGAAGCGGAAAATTTATGAAATCGTACGGTATATGGATTGGGTAAGATAGAGAAATATGACAAAAAAACTGTGGACAACAGATCTGGATTTATATAAAGCAAGAATAATTTTAAAATCTAGTGTTCAAAATATAACATCATCATAACTATTATTTTATTTATAAAATCAACAAACATTTAATAACTTTCTAAAATAATTAGACAGGCATCTAATGGGTAATCTATTTTCCACGAACTGATATTCTTTACCGATATGTTACGAAGGTCGCCAATTTCTTTAATTACTTTGATATTTATCAACATATCATTATTGTTTACATGTTAGACCGTCAAAGACTTTGAACTTAATTATCTTAGGGCCTCGATTACTCTCAGGGTAATTATCAAAGTAATGAGTTAACTCATTACTTTGATAAATGTTTATTAAATACAACAAAAGCTGTACAGCAAAATGAGTTGAAAGTTTCAATCAGAAATAAAAGATAAATTAGCTGGCAAAAAAGTATTTTGACTTCGTTAAAGATATTTTGACATTTCTCAATTTAAATAGCTAATACCAGAGTATGCATAAAATTGCATTAGTATAGCAAACGCAAATAAATATAGTAGTTACGTCAATATGTCATTTTCCTCTTTAAGGGGTTGCACATTCAGTTTTAGGTAACTAAAGGTCTGTAGTTTATTTCTGTAGAACCTAATAAAAATGTAACCAAGTTGTATTGAAATTATTATAGAAAAAATCTCTAAACGAAATTAGTAATGAATCGAATAATTCAATCAATTAGTTTATTTTTATTTTATATGTACTTCTACTAGATTATCAGCAAATTATCTTATGATCACTTCTATTCTTCCATTGTTTACATTTTCATCAAGGTTTATCGAAATAGGCTTTCCTAATTTTACTATAACAAGAAAGATAATTACTTGTGGTGCTCTCTGGTTGAAATCGTCTTCTGTTAGTGCAACTAGAGCCGCTCCGTCCATCGCGAAATATTCTGCTGGAACCATCGGTAGGTTAAAGTGCTGCAGTGTGAACATCACCCAAGACTTCACGTCCGCTGTACTCCAGAGCATAGGATCTGAAATGAATATTGCAGTCAATACTGGTAGTACAATTTAAGAAGATCTTATAATAGTAGTTAATACTTGTAAAGTAATTGATGTAAATACAAAGTTATTGATTTGAATTTCTTTGTGCGTGATATGTTGCACGTAATAACAATTTTATGGCAAGACAAAGATTGTTTAAGTAGAGGTTATTTTTCAATGACTCCTATTTCTGATAATTTTATCTTGGCTGTACTCGTAAATTTGTAACAAAATTGGAATAATTTTCTCAAGATTATGCACGAACTATTTCGACTCTTCGATATCGCTTTAATATACTTGTAGTTAATATCAAATATGGCGCTGGAATTTAAAAATATAGATTTAGAAATGTTACTAATAAAAATAATGAATGTGTTATTTCTTACAATGATCGTTAAATAAGAACGCTTTTAGTATATAAATTTGAAGGACTTAATTTTACGTAATTTTGAACTAATAATTATAGATTACTATATTAAATACATATATTATAAGCACTCGTTAACATATTAATACTGTATCAATAATCATATCGAATCACGTACATATATAGGGAAATAAATTATAACCAGTGATTTCATATAATAAATAATGAACATCATACGTAGTTCATACTATACGTACGATGGGGGGCTTACGTAAGCAATCATTGCCAGTTCTCGGAATCCATTTATAATAACGAAGTAGTTAAGCAGTAGCTGACATCTTATCTACGTGGAAACACTTGATTTTTTACCGCGCTGAAGGCAACATGACGTCATTGATAATCGCTCACATATCGCATAGTAAGTCGTGTCAAGTGACGACGTTCCCACAAGAAAAATGGTCTTCTGTTATAAATTGTACAAGAATGCGTGTATATTCAAATGTCTTTTAAGTATGTTTATGACTAATGGATGAAATGATGACGAAACCGATATACGATTCAGAACGTGGAAGAATGTATTCGTAGATATCGGGAGAGAACCAAGACTGACCTATCATAATCAGAATTATTGTAAGGTGTAAAATTCGGAGTTTCTGGAAAATATTTACATACATGTAACCATTTTCATTTCCATATCTACGAAGAAGATCTATATTCAGCAATGGATAGATAACAGTTAAAATAATGATGATGATGATCTAACCATTTAAGATGAAATAAAAAATTTTAGCATTTCGATTTATGAGTAATATTTTATAACTGTTCGGTGACTCACCTGGCGAGATTCCTAGTACTGTGCAAGTGTTGTCCACATCTCTCTTCGACTGCTCGATGGCCATTGACAGTACGCGGTCAATATCTGGTGCTACCAATGTTTCGTCACCCCCGCTGCTCTCTTCCATTTTGACAGCGCCTAATTCTAAAGGAATAGGTTTCAGATTCAATCTTTTCTGGAAAGTGGTATCTTCGAGAGCTGATCGTAGAAGGATATGATCTCTCGGCTCTTCGACCTCAATTTTTGGCGTGATATAATTCTGTTGAACGCTCTCTTGCAGTATTTGATTTTCTTTTAGAAGCTCTTCGATATCAATGTACTCCTCGTGTTGTGGGACTGGTGAATGGTTGTAATGATTTTGGCTGCCGTAAGATGCGCAAGATCCAGAAGGCGAGAGGGGGTAGGGCGATGCGAATCCTGGAACAGCCAGTCTGTTTGGTTCTTCCTTTATGTAGACTGACGGAGAGTTGTACGGGAGGCAATGGTAAGGTGAGGCCGGCTGTAAAGCCACTGTTGGGATTGTGTCATCCGATGACGGAGATGGAGTGTGATATCCCTCAAAATCGTAGAGGCGTTCTAAGAAGACGTTGTTGTCTTCTGGATAAGGTGGGGGAGGTTTGGTGTGCGGGTTTGGAGGAGAGTGCAGCATCGATTCTGGAGGTGATGCAGCCCCCAGGAGGCGAAGGAGGTGATGAATGTCGGCGGGGGAGGCGGGGACCGCCCTCTCGCCCTGTGACGCAGACGGCGGGCTACACCCGGACCTCGGTACTGTCTGTGGCATCTGTTGACAAAGAAAAATAAAACTATATAACCTGATAGCTTCGACTTAATTAATAAAATGTATGAAAAAAATATATAAATGGTAAAAATTCAGTGATCTTTGTAAATAGTTACAAACAATACATATTTTATTAAAAATATTTAATTACCACAAAATAATGTGATAATAAATAAAAGATAAAGTTGCATCCTTAGTTTGCCAACCTTTGGAAAAGATCGCATAAAGTTGATACCATTTTAGTTCTAGTATCGTTATTTTTTTTTTCAATCATATAAGTACTATTTACCGGCGAATACTTGGCTACCATTTTAGATGCTTGTGAAGTCATCATTGACGTCACAACTGTACTGTACACCAGATGTCGTAATCTAAACAGAACATTTTCAGCCTTATTGTATATTTATCGGAACGTCAAAGCTTCTAAACTTAGCAGTGACTAATAGATTTGGCAAAATTTACTACACTAAATTAAGTGGTCTCAATAATAAATTGTGGCAAATTCCATGAATATTTATTATTTAAGAAAAATTTATGGGAGCACCTTGTCATAATATATAAAAAAGTGTAATCGCAAACACATTACGTAAGGTTATGGGATTTTGATGAGAAAAACAGTTGAGGTCACACAAAAACTACGGACGGACCTATTACAACTCGTATGTGCAAAATTTATGTGGTTTTTTGGGCTTTTCATATATCTCGCATGATTCAAATGTTAGATTCAGTAGTCCGAGTGTTTTTTATCTTCATTAAGATGAGATGGACTGTTATCAAGAATTTTAAAATAGAATGTGCTACCACTAATTAATGTTTTTTATATAAAGGCAAATATAAAAGCAACTTCTGTATAAAAACTCCATGAGCCATTCAAACCCAGCACAAAAAGACTCCATTGAAAATCAAATTTAATAAAAGGGAACGTAAAATTATACAAAGTAAAACAAAGAGCATGCACGTAAATAATAATTTAGAAATATTTGGTTTACAAAAAACTACTTTAAAATTGGAATACCTCTTAAAAATAATCACTCAAATTGATTCAGATTTGACAAAAATAAAGCTTAAAATGTATTTAAAAATAGAATCTAATTGAGACGCTCCATTGTCAGTTAAAAACTTTTCTAAATTGACCCAGGTCAGAGTTGTGCCCTCGAGTATTTCTCACACAGGATATTTTATCTTAAAAATCAAATGATTGGTATAATTTAGTAGAAAAAAAAATCTTAAAACAACAGTCACTCACTCTCAACAGTGACAATCCCATCTTGTTGAATAGTAAAACTGAAATGACTGTACGGAGTTCAGTTTTCAATAGTAAAAATTATATTTCAAGTTTAACCAGTCTGTACAGGTAATAATGTATGAACAAGTACTCTTATAACAAGATACTTAAGATTTTTTTCCAAACACACAATAGCTCGTCCTCTTTACATATTTCCCACGTAGTATAAGTATAATTAGAATGCATAAAATGCATTCATCTTTATGAACAAGTTATTATTTACAGAGTAGAGATATAGTTATATTTATTTGATATTGTTATAATGGTACTGGCAGGATAGAAACAAGTGAAGTATTGTGGTCTTTGTCTACACTAAAAAGAAAAAAAAACACAAATATCTTTAAAATAATTAGAAAACGTCCAAACAACAGTCAGTAAACTATGAGAATACGTGTTGTTTTTAAATTTTCAATCTTTTTTCTTTTTAATTCAATCTATTTCATTTTCCGAATGTATTAGATATTATTTTTTTTTTTGTATTTAAGTACTCAGTTCAAATTATTTTTATTGATAATTAATAAATTATAGATTAATATAAATTTAATATCTATGGAATAATAGTTTTAAAGCGCGCCAAATTAAAAAAAAGGTCTTTTTTAAAATGCGGACATCATTTATTTTGTTATAATAATACTCTAGCTGTTAACTAGATTTCAAACCTATAACGCCTTTCTTTTTATTTTGAAGGTTAAAAGACATATTATTCAGTAAGTATGCTCTAGGTCATCAGTCTCGCAAATAAGTTAGTGTAATTAAAAATGTATCTAAATGTAAAATATATATATATTAAGGAACTGTCCATATTACGAGTAAACGAGCTTAAAGAATACAATGTAAAATAATCCTTAACTCTATAAAAATAGAGTTCCATCTGGCAAACAAGACGTCGCTGGTATATATGAATGAACTTATATATCGTTAAGGCCTTATATTCTTTATATTTATAACAGTAAGGTTTATTTTATATTGTATTCCTTGAGCACGCCCGTTGATATATAAATGACTCTTAGGCAAGTACACCTTTGTGAATGATCGTTATCTTATGAAGATTTTACGGATCAATCACCTTTAAGAATTTAAAGTCACCAGTAAGATAATTTGTAAATACTATAGATACAACGTCAAAAAGTTATATGCTAATTCTTGTCACAATTTACAATGTAGTTGCTACAATCGTGGGAGAAGGGCGTTGTTAAAAATCCGTTTTACACTAATCGTAGGTCGCCTATTGAAACGTACCAGTCCACTAATTTTAAATAAAAAATAAATGTTTATCATATTTGAAAAAAGAACGCTGGAAACTAAAAATCGCAGAATAAAAAGAAAAGAAACTACTCTGTATAATAATTTAGAAGCAAACAAATATATTGACAAATATATTATCGTTGCTATATAAATAAAATAAAACGAGAGAACAATATTTGGTGTTCTGTTCTTTGTCATATATGTAAGAAGGTAGATACCAATAGGTTCGTTAGACATTTATCTTTAAGTCGTACTGTTTTAGATACAAATCTCCTAACAGACTTATTATAAATGCTGGTCATACACACACCATGTGTACTTGTAAATCTTTAAAAAAAATTAATTCTAATTCTAAGTTTATTAATAAATCTGAATAGGCATAAGCATAAACAATGCTAATAAATAAATAATAACGCGTGGTTTGTTAACGTCAACTATAAATATAAATATATCCGGGCTAAATTTACAATTAAATCTATTTTTTGTTAAAATCCTATATACTATTTTATAGGAGGATGTGCTGTGCGTGAGTAGACATATATGAATAAATAGTATGAATAAATAGAATGGATAATTCGATACTGGCGCCGACACGCGGAAATGTCCAATCAATAGGAATTTAAGAAGTGACAGATTATCTATACAGAATCCAAACTGCTAGTAGGCCAACAAGCCTATATGATCTTTGAAGGGTAAATATTTACAGAAAAAAATCATTGTGTGTTACATACATGTAATGTAACATTAATTGTTACATGTTCCCACGCTACAGTGTTACATGTTAACGTATTCATATTATGTAACGCACGTTTGTTAGTTTGTAAATACATAAGTGCTTTATTTGATTCGTGTAAACGGTAGCTCAAGTGACTAGTACTACCTGTTTCAAGTGGTAGGATTCAAATGTACTAATTTCTATTCTCACATTCAATTGCTACTTGCCGTGAGTGTTTTAGTAATGTAAACAGGGCCTTAAACGTTAACTCAAAAATATAGTTACCAACATCAATTCACCGTTTATTTTCTTTTGATTTTTCTAATATTTGGATTGACCCCCCCCCCCCTTATACAATTTCAATTCGCTTCAATTAGTTTTAAATATTTAATTTTAGAATCAATTTAAGGGATTTTACATTTTTAGAAGGTAGGAGAACCATTTAAATTAACACATATGTGTGAAATGTTGAAACTATACTATTTTTATGTACATGGACTTATTAGGTATTGGATTTATAATAAACTTATAACAAAAGAAAACATAACCAAAAGGTTTCATTATCATATTACCCTCTATTCTGAATAGAATAATAGAAATGATTGAAAAAGAAAAAACAAATACTAATAATAATATGTAATAATACGTTTGTACATCGATGTTAATCATCAATGATGATAATTATGATAAGAGAAAGCCTGTGCATAATACTAGTAATAAGTAAGATGAAAGAATGGAGGGTTAACTAGATTTTCTTATTTAAAATGGCAAACAAGCTAATGGACATCCTAAAAGTCGCCTATAGACATGACCAGCAACCTGTAATTTTATTACCATATCCCCACCTTAGTATAGATGAGATATGAAGAATGATGAAGTTTAAATTACAAAAAAATATTAATTTGAAAGTGATGCATATAAGGGAAGAGGGTGACCCAAAAAAGATACCGGATTTAATTAATTTACCCATTAGAAAAAGTAGAATGGATGATGATGAAAATAGAATAATAAGATAAAAAATTAATAGAGTATTAAGAAAAAAAAATTGAATGAGTTTATCTAATATAAACTAAGAGGGTTTATAAATATCAAAGAACGTAATGTCCCAGGAGCTTATTATAAATACTTAATACCTGATAGTTTTAGAAAAGTTTTCAATTGAAATGCACTAAAAAATGCAGCGGCACTAAAAAATTTTAAACAGGCCAATTTGTAGTCACGTGATCTAAAACTGATTATTTTTTATAAACTTGCAATTGCAACTCCTCCTGGACAACCTCTTTTTTTTGGATTCAGCTAACAAGAAATACATCGTCTTTACATTTAAAAATTCTTGAATCCAAATGATTTTATTCTGGATTAAAATTCCATAGTCATTTAGGCAATCTTCATAAAAACGATTTTAGTTGCTAAAAAAATAATGTCATTAACTTCCATCGTGCTTCAAAAGGGCAACGGTATGAAGAAGGTCAGTATATACTATAATTCAAATTGAGATACAATCCTTTTAATGCTGTCGTATCCGAACCAAATTCAAACCAATTTCTAAGACACTAAGGAAGCACGTTTTTACATTCCTATTAAAAAAAAAAAAATATGACAATGAAACGTTCATTTATGACGTCAATTCATTGTCTATGAACACTCTATAGTAACGCATGGGTGTCGTGACTGCCCAAATTGCAGACTCTGATACAATTTCGACCAGACCTTGGGGTTTTCACGCACGCCAGTGCGCTCGACCGTGTTTATATACCTGACTTATTTGGTCACTTACTTGAAATTGTTGTAACCGATCCCGATAGATATATAATTACAACTTTATATACTCTACTTAACATTTTTAAAGAAATCAAATTGATTTTATAAGTTAATACGTTTCTATCTTGCAAAGAAGAATTTTTAGCTCGAGACATACAGTCAATTTAATTAATAAATTTGGGATAAATTAAAATGTAAAGAACGTAAACATTTATAAAGAGATTTTATCTGTATTTAATTAATATTTTTAAAGCTGTCTTAAAATTATTAACACTTAAATTTACTTTAACGTGTGCCAGAAAGAAAATTGCTACTCCACATTAGGCGGTAGAGGTTCATTCTCATTCTATTACGAATTTCGTACGTCGCAGCTGCACTTTAAGATTTAAATTCCCACGACAAAGTTTTACATAATACACTAGTAACAATACAAGTCTCGTTGCAAGATGTCTACCAACGATTAGACTTAATTGCCCATTAGTTTGAATTATACCTTGTTTTAGTCTATTTGCAGTCAAAACTGAGATTTGTTGGACATTTAGTGAAGACATGTCACTAACTCTGTTTGTGTGACTAAACTTTATATATTTAGGTTTTGGGTTTTCCATGACATAATAATCTCCGATAGAATGGCGACAACTTTATAGCAGACGAGATGGATTCGTTGTTTTGTGTTTAATTCAAATCACCTTTATTGTTATCGTAATAAGGTTCAATTTTCAATGACTCAACATCATCTATATATATATATTATAGGTATAGATGTATCTATAAGATGTAAACATCATCTAAAAGCTTATGACTGTGTCTGGAAATGGTTATAAATTTAAAAAATATTAATTTGAATTGAGTCTGAACATTCACGTGAAACATTCCAATAGTCTGTCTATAATATTCTCTAAGTATTTCCTTTCCTTAAGAACACTCTATCTTACCTAACGTAAACTGATCAACTCACTTGATACTGCATACTTTCACCCTCCATATTAAGTCAATGAATCGAGCACTTCGAATGAAAACTTTATCAAAAACCGCACTCACACAGTCACCTCCGTATATCAAAGCTGTGGGGTTGATGCACCTTTGACGTTGCGTCCATGTCTTGAAACGTCAGGGTTTGAGGTTATATCGCCGGCGGGTGGATGATTTCGCGTTGCCCTCTTATCACGGCCCGTATTTGATGTACGTTGCACACTTTGTTTAGTTACATTGATTGAATGAAGTAACACGAAGGCTTTTTGGACATGAGTGCGTGTGCGCGTCGGATAGTTCACACAGCCACTGAGCTCTGCGTCGGCGCACGAAGCCTTTGGCTCAATGAACGCCTGCGTCACCACGGGAAGTACGCTCCGACTGAACTAATATCGAACTTTTAATAGAACCTACATCGGAACTATGATATGTTTTAAAACGTCATCGTTCAAGTAATTAGGATTCGATGACGTTAATGTCAATAGAAAATTAATATCTAATTCATTTCGTTAATTTCCACGACTCAGTTCTGATAGTGTTGACTACGATTCAATTAATATCCGTATATTAGAATGTTTGTTTTCGACTTCCTAAATTAGCTATCACCTAAATATAAACCGGTTATATTTGACGCCAACACAACTAATAAACAATGCTCTAAATTAAATTATTTAATAATAACTGTTTTTTTTTTCTATTAAATTAAAGACTTTTGCGTAATACGTAATAAATGATTTATGATTTTTTAATAGTTCGGAATAACCCTAGATATCTAAATGAATTTATTTTACCCAAGTGATCGTATTTATTAGTTTTATTAAAAAAAAAATTGTTAATAATTTCCTTGTTTATGGTTTCCATTCATGTAAACGGATTTTTAATGACAAATTTTGTACATTTATCAACCATATCGTCTTTCAGTGTAGTAATATATTTATCATTCTTTTAATGTATATAATATCGAATGTTATGCAGAGCAGTTATTGGAGTGCAAATTTAATGCCGTTTTATGTAATATTTATTTTATAAATGTATTAATTTGTAATCTGTTGCCTTGCTATAAATAATATATATATATATATATATATATATATATATATATATATATATATATATATATATATATATATATATATATATATATATATATATATATATATATATAATATTATGAATCATTACTTTTAATTCTAAAAGTCAAAAGGTGGCATTTAAGTTATCTGTAATAAGATTATCAAAGTGTCAACGATCTGTGTTAAGTCCTATCAACCTCATCCTAAAACAACTTTGAGTTGCAATTAGCTCTAATTCGATTTAGCAATTAAGTAAAAACTTAAATAAACTTAAGCAGTTTATTTGAGTTTTAGTAGAATAGAAGTTAATTTAGTAACATATTATTTTTGATAATTATATAAATTCTCCAAGAACAACAAGATATTTATGATTTGCTGATTTGGTTTACAAAAAAGAAAACATCTAAAATCGTAACAAAATTTATAAATAACTTACAAGGAGAGTCAACTCTAACGCATGCAAAAAAAAGAAAGAAAAATACAAATAATAACATTCAGGATTAGCTCAAATAATATTGAATAATCTATCTATCTATCTATCCTATTTAAGAGCTGCGCTCTTGTCGGTGGAGCTCTTGTCACACACTACGATTTTCAGCGAGTCTCTTCACCTCTTGATACGACACGACACCAACTCCTTCCTTGATCTGCCTGATGTAACTATGTCTCGGTCTCCCTCTCCCCCTCCTTCCTTCTATCTTACCTTCTATTATAATGTTCATAAGTGCGTCGTGTCGTATCAAGTGTCCCAACATTTTTCCCCTTCTATCCTCAATAGTTCTAATAATTTGTCTAATTGAATAATACACAAGTGAAAAAAAAAAATACAATTGATATTTTGAAGTTCTCAATACTTTTGTGTTGAATGGAGATTTACTAATTTAAAATCGTATTTTACAATGAACAAACGTGTCGGGCACAATAAGTGGCTGTTTAAGAAAATAGCCCCGTACAAACGTAGATGTGTCAGGTGTGTAGTGACTCAATATCGTTTGACATTATGGGAACCAAAATGACATCACAGCCGTTTGCATTATACTCGTAAAACAAATTGTAATTAATTAAACTTTTTGTAATGTAAGATGAATGAAATGACAATGGCTGAAACGATGATGATGATGTGAGGTGAATTCATGTAATACAGCAATTGGGTGATAAATTGGATAATTAAAAAAGGAAGCGTTAAATATAATTTTAAACATTTAAAATTATGATAAAAATATCAGATAAAGTCAAGTAATGTAGCAATGAAGAGTAAATCAAAACAGGACATATAAAAAAAATATTAATCATAAAATGTAAGATGAACAATAAGTGACTGAAATGATGATGGTAATGTGAAATGAAGTCATAAATTACCAGAGGGAGACTTTGTACAAAAGTTGATTGCTTGGGTACCTCTGTCCCATTCGTGTTTCAACCGTGAAGCAGTTGTGTTTGCATGGCTGTGTTTCGGTTTGAAGGGTGGAATATGGCGTGAATTTACTGAGTACAGAGGAATAATACCTGAGTCCTCAGGAATGGCAACGCATGGGGGGTATCATGGGCGAAACAGTATACTCTGTTATGTCCATGCTACTGCTCATATCTATAGGCTACGATTACCACTTTCCATCAGGTGGACCGTCAGCTTGTTTACCATTCTAAGTTGTATAAAAAAAATACAGCAATCAGGAATATACTGTATATTTAAAACAATAATGAGCTTAAAAATGAATTTTAAAAATGGAATATAGTTCCATTTTTGATTCTTCATTAAATAAAGACCTTAGTGAAATGGCGGTGGCACAATCTCATACAATGCAGAGATTTGAATTCATAAGCATTTATATATTTGTATTGGTCTGAATATAAATGTTTTGTATCTACAAGTTTTTATAAAGATTGTTAAATATGTCTCTCAATATCTAGCTCGTTCATTCATTCTTTCATATAATACAAGTTCTGTATAGTATGAATTTAAGCCGAGTGTGACATACTCAGAATAAAAAAGGTTACTGCATACCATAACCATCATCTTCCTACCCTTATCCCAATAATTTGGGGTTGGCGTAATATGATTTTATCCATATTACAAAAAGATTTGGTTTTTTAGTTTTACGACCGTTATTTCAGGTTGAAAATCTAAGTCTGTATGTAAATATAGGATATAGTGTTGACGATCCCAGGTTAACAGGCGGTATCAAACCTCTTAATTTAAGACGAGACTTTGCTTTTCATCTGCTACCGTCTATATAAGGGATTGTGTTCTGAAGAAAAATATACTACGAAACTACACGATCTCAGAACCTGGGGATTCACCATCGTCAGAGAGGGCCGAGACAATGTTGACTCGTCCTATCAACAGTTGATGGAAAATCCATTCTCAGCTCGTGTGGCACGACTTAGAACCAAAAATGATTACGCACAGACTTCTTCTTGCATTTGGGGGACATAAATGGATATTGAGAAACCTCCTTCTCACAGTGGAAAACTTTGAAGGGGATAAAATTGATTTACCTGAATAATTGTAAAATAAAATTTTTAAAAAACTTTTATACGTAAACCTCGTATAAGGGATTGTGTTCTGAAGAAATATACTACCTACACCTACCTTTCACCATCGTAACACTCGCTATCAACAAGGAATCCATTCTCATAACTTAGAACCAGAATGATTACGCACAGTACGGTATTAGAGGAGCTTCCTTCCACGAATACTCAAATTGTATACCATAAGGTTTTTAAAAAAAAGGCGTATTAAGTTTTTTTTAGTGCCGGCAATGCGCGCGTGACATCCCTGGTGTTACAGACGTCTATAGGCTACGATAACCCCATTTACTATCAGACGGGCCGTATGCTTGTTTGCCATTATAGTTGTATAACAAAAGTCCACGAAAACTCATTCAAATCCGTTTAGCCATTTATTCATAATTGAGTAATAAACATACAAACATTTTTATAATGTTTTTTTTTAATGGGTGATAATGGAATGGTAACCTCACCTGCGCTATCGGTATACGCTGGTGGGGCACCTGTGTGATGATAGATGAGGATGAAAGCAGGTCAGTTAGCCCGTCGTGACGAATTCCACTAGAATTAACCACGACGGTTTCCAGGGATAACCGCGTGGAGGTCCCATTAGACCCCATTATTAATAATCCCTTCCCCCCTCTTTACAATGTTTTACGTTTATAATATTGGTAAGATTATTAGACTAATTGACAATTTCATTAAAGTTAAAATCCCAACCGAGTAAACAGGCGTCACGTGATTATGAATTAATTCAAACATTAATGTCTGAGGTTATCTTTGTGGCGTACTATCGCTATGACGAATACTGTAACGCAACACATAGAAACCCATTTGTTAATCTATACTTATAATAAATCTGTAGAGAGGTCAATTCTGTACATGAAATATATTTCCAAAATAACTATCAGGGGGTGATTAGTGATCGATACTGATGCCAAAAATGCAATCAGTTAAATTTTTGTCTGCCTGTCTTTATGTTCGTTATAGAAACAAAAACTGCTCGGCGGATTTTAAAGAAACTTGGTACAATTATTCTTCATACTCCTGGACAGGTTATAGTATACTTTTCATCACGCTACAATCGATAGGAGCAGAGCAGTGAAGGGAAATGTTGGGAAAACAGGAGAAGCTACTTCATTTTTAAGATTCCGTCGCGTATGTAGTCTTAATGGGCGCTTTTTAAAATGTAAAAATGTCCAACCGTGCGACGCCAGGACGAGCCGCTAGTTCATAATAAAATCACTGAACAGAAATGTATTAACGAATTACATTTACCAGAGGGAGACTTTGTACAAAAGTCGTTTACTTGGGCACCTCTTAATTGTGTTTCTACTGTGAAGCAGTTGTGTTTAAATGGCTGTGTTTCGATTTGAAGGGTGGGATATGGCAGTGAATTTACTGGGTATAGAGGAATAACAGCTGAATCCTCAGGAATGGCAACGCATTGGGGGTATCAGTATTGGGGGAAATATACTCTGTTATGTCTATGGTACTGCTTATGTCTATAGGCGACAGTTACCATTTTTTATCAGGTGGGCCGTCAGCTTGTTTGCCATTCTAAGTTGCGTCTACTCGACGATAAACAGCAGCGTCCCAATTAAAACATCACTAAAGCTTAATTGCAATAGTTAACCGCTGATAACATGATTATCACATTTTTGTAATCAATATACACTCATACAAGTAAAGCTGATTCACGACATTTGGTTTAAATGACAAAAATAATTGAACTCGACAGAACCGGGAACTAGGGAGTTTTTAGAGTCCATTTCCTATTCAGAGCTCAGTATTGTCCAGTGATGTACAACTATAACGTCACGGATTTTTGTAAACAAACGATGACGACTGTTAC